CAAAACACTGGAGCAGATTCTTTAGGCAAGAACCCAATACTGAGTCCCGGCACTGGCCATGTCAACCTCACTCTCCACTCATCATCATGAGGCTCCACCACCCTGCCATGAAAAGAGAGCTGTTTGACACTCACACTGCGCCAGCTCTTTCACTTGTGGTGCTTGTCATGGTTTTGTATTATTTATACATTACTCTGAATCAAAAAGGCTGTGAAGAGGCAAGCAGAGCCCTTCTAAGTCAAAACCCTGGGCTATTGAGCTGATGAAAGATCTAAACTAGTTTGCATTAAACCTTCTAAACCGCTAGCATCAGTGAGACGTTTTACCCAAAATACCCCACAGCAAGAGATGATAGGTAGTAGTGAGTGAACAAGGAACATGTTTAAACTAACAAACAGGCTCTGTGGGGCCTTTTTTTGCTTTATTCTTATTGTATTTCATCTTCTGTCTGCTTACAAATGCTTGACTGACAGGTGTGGAGGCTGGCATCTATCACTTCTCTTCAGAACAGAGAGGGAACGAACTCTAACATCTCCCAGTGCTGAACCAGAGGGAACACACTTCCCTAAACATAAAAGGATTATCTCATACCTCTTGCTACACCCTACCCAACTCTCCTTCAAGCTACAAGGCTGCTGGAGAGGGACTCCTCATTAGGGACTGTAGCCATAGGACAAGGGCTGATGGGTTCAAACTGAAACAGGGGAAGTTCTATGATGATCCTATCTTCCTTTCTCATCACTTTTGGAGAATCTGGACACATGGGGAGGCTCACTAGAGGCTTTCTGAATGAATATGGCATTTTTGCATCTTTTTATCATAGGTCTTTCCAGTCAGCAGATGAAATTCTGATGTTCCCCATTCCATACTTATCAATTTCTTCTCAAAGCTTTATCTAATTCCATTTTTCACATGACCACAGGTGCCAGTGAAAGGCACGAGATGCTAAATTACATATATTTGCTATGACAGAGCTCGTGCCAGCACTGAGCACTGACAATGCACATTACAGTTCAGCTCATGTATTTCCGACGGCACATTTTTACAGGGCTATATATAAAGTTGTTATGGCATCTATTATTCACTGCCAATACAGTTCAAGTTAAAATAGGTTTTATATAACAGTTCAAAGCAATATTTTAAGACATAACACTTGTGTCAAGGCTGCCGTGCCCTACCAGATTTTGACATTTCCAAGGAATAAAGATCTTTATCCAAAATGTAAGGTTTTGGCGAGACATCTCCATTGGAGACTTGTCTATTTTTAATCAGCAAGCAATAGCAAAAGCAGCACATTGAAATGAAATGAACAGCCAGCTGAACTGTTGACATGGCTGTTTTCTTTCCAGGTGGAAGCTGAAAAGTGCCCTCAAGGGATGTTCATGACAGAGAACAACGCCCCATTAACCTGAACCTCTGAAGAGATTCTGGAGATGTGGAAAACACACAAAAGGAAAAGAGTCATTGGGACATTAAGAAAGTGTCTATTACGGGCACAATTTTATATCTGTTTTTCAGGACACAAGATGGGAAGAGAATTTATTTCCTCATTTCTTTAGCAATGAAAAAGGTTTTATATCTGTTCCTGCAAAAAGGGCAGATTCAATGTTAAAATAAAAAAGCCTCATTACTGGTACCATCACTATGAGTTTCCTCAAAGTTGAGCGCTCATCAGTGTGGCCCAGGAGATGTGATATTCCAGCAATGCTCCTGTCACCTCGTCTGTGCTCCTCAAGACTGACATGTTTCTGGTGCTGGATATGCAGCAAGACCAATCCACTTGCATACGATATGTTTGCATAGCTCTACTCTTCATTCTGGTCCCCAAAGGAGAACAAATGCCACACATCAATTTGGCAATAAATTTAGTTGATTACTTGTGTTTGACAGGAATAATGTTTCCTATTAAATCTTTTGGTTATTTGTTAGTTTTAAAAACACACATGAGGAAATGTTGTAAGGGCGACTATGAGCTCAGTGTGTCCCCTCCTTTGCATACCCACAGCTGCTAATGAAATCAGGGAAGTTTTAATGCAGAAGGTGAGTCCTCTCATAAGAAATACGTACAGGGGAAGCTCAGGCCAGATATAAGGAAGAAGTTATTTACTGTGAAGGTGGTGAGGCACTGGCACAGGTTGTCCTGAGAGGCGGTGAATGCTCCATCCCTGGCAGTGGACGGAGGTTGGACAACGTCTTGGGTGACAGGGACTAGTGTGAGATGCCCCTGCCCGCAGCAGGGGGGTTGGAGATGGATGATCTAAAGTTTCTTTCCAACCCAAACCATTCTATGATTCTATGTGGGTCAACAAACAGAAAAGCAAGCCCCAGTGAAAACTATTTAAAAGCACTGTTTGCTCATTCAAATACAAGTGGGGAGAGGTATCACACAGTCCATAGCATTTTCATTATATTTCTGTCAAAAAACATAGAATCATAGAATCATAGAATAGTTAGGGTTGAAAAGGACCTTAAGATCATCCATTTCCAACCCCCTGCCATGGGCAGGGACACCTCACACTAAACCATGGCACCCAAGGCCTCGTCCACCCTGGCCCTGAACACTGCCAGGGATGGAGCATTCACAACCTCCCTGGGCAACCCATTCCAGTGCCTCACCACCCTAACAGGAAAGAATTTCCTCCTTATATCCAATCTAAACTTCCTCTGTTTAAGTTTTAACCCATCACCCCTTGTCCTATCACTACAGTCTCTAATGAAGAGTCCCTCCTCAGCATCCCTATAGGCCCCTTTCAGATACTGGAAGGCTGCTATGAAGTCTCCACAGAGCCTTTTCTTCTCCAGGCTGAACAGCCCCAGCTTTCTCAGCCTATCTTCATACATGTTAAATAAAGAGCTATTGGTCCTAAATGCATTGCTTCTGAGGAGAAATGTTTAAGAGACATTTGGAATAATGCTTGAGGAACGCAGTCCTCCTTACAGGGTGAGCATGGATCTTGGATAGGAAAGCAAAATAGATGCAGGAGATGGGGGTAAAGTAGGTGAGATGAAAGCACACACATTGTTAGAAGCAGAAGGCATTAACTGTTTAATTTGAATCAGTATTAACTCCAGAAGCTGAATAAGTTATTCAAAGGTAAACTCATATTAGGCAGAGAGGTCTGAAGGATCTGCCAAATCAATAGATAAGCAAACTGCACATAGAATCACAGACTGGTTTGGGTTGGGAAGGACTTGAAGCTCATGCACTTCCAACCCCCTGCCATGGGCAGGGACGCCTCACGCTAGACCAGGCTGCTCAAAATAAATGAGTGCTGCATTTAGTTAGAAGTTATGTCGGGCTAGGACTGCATTCACTTAAATTGCCCAAAGTACCCCACCATGGCCACGTGGTCCAATGCGGCTAAATGCAGAGATATCAAATTGTAACACAGAAATGGGATTTAAGCAGGAAACCAAGGATTTCTCTAAGGAGACACAACTGCATCTCTTGTTTTTCCGAAGTTGACGTGCTTGAGGATGGCTTGGGGTTTGTAATTCTCCTCTATCTAATGGGCAAACAGTGTGGTGTGTTTTTTGGGCAGCACAGGAGGCAACATAAAGATGGAAAGAAAAAGGCAGTGAATAGACTTCAGGCAAAAGGATTATAACAGTATCTTTTGTGCCCACAACACCATTTCAGAAATAGAATCACAGAATCACAGAATGGTTAGTGTAGAAAGGACCTTAAGAACATCCAGTTCCAACCCCCTGCCATGGGCAGGGACACCTCACACTAAACTGTATCCGTATCACACAAGGCTCTGTCCAAAAACACCTTTGCTACCATCCTTCTTGAAGACCAAAAGGCAGGAACACCCCAAAACATGCATTTTCCATCAAGAAAATTCCCTAGAGTTTGTCCTGGTGGACGCAAAGAGGATCCTCAATATGAAAGGACAATTCACACCCAAGGATACTCAGTGTGAGAATATAACTATTTCATCCCTAGTGGTGCATGCAAGTCCACAAAGCTCAGTCATCTCTATTCAGCAAACCACAGCAGAAATTAGATACATGCTAACCTCGACTGGCTCCTGTGCAACTACCATCAACATTTCTTACTTACAGTGTGAATCACATGTAGCTCTCACTGTCTGCAAACAGAGGTCACAGCCTCAAAGAACCAGTCCCCAGCAGGAACGTTTATCCCCTTTTTGCACTGGTAACTCAATCACAATTCCCGCTATACCACAATCAAAATCTATCCTGATAAAATTAGCTCAATCCAATTAAAGGACAAAGTATAGCCCTTAATTAAATGTTCTGATTATTCTGAAGCCCTCTTTTTTTGTTGGTTCATCTTGAGTTTAGGCCTGTAAAAGCACACAAATTAGAAAGGTTTAATGTGTTCTGGGTTTATTCAGCTATTCCTGCAATTTAAGGACAAGGTTTCCCAAAAGCATAAAAAGAGAAGTATAAAAAAGACAAATGTGGGATGTTTAACTTATTCCGGCCTCTCTTTGTTCCTTTTTTTAATCTTTTATTTATAGTGCATTCAAATAAAAAGGAATAAAAATAGTGTGTCTTCTTTTAACTATATTAAGAACAGCCAAATACTTTGATAAAGCAAAAACATTGAATTACTTGAAAAAAATAACAAGTTATTTCCTTTCCTTTACCTATTATCCTCTTTTATGTTAAAGCTGGAGATTTTCTGTCTGTGACAAATTCCAGTTTCGAGTTTGCACGCACTAAGAAAGCTGTTTTGCTGCAGAGCCAAGCCCAACTAAACTACCTCATCGCAGCCTTTGTAATGGAAGACTCACTCCATACAACATTAGTCCATGAACATAAATTCATTCTTGATGTTTTCATTATGGGTCATATGGATTTCTAATTCTTCCTTCTGCCACTGGTTCCCATCCTTACAAACACTTGATAATCTCTCTCATTTTCAGTGGTACTGTACTGGAAGCACTGTAAATCACCATTTCTTCTATCATGTTGAGCAAGCAACACAAGGAATCTCCACTTCCAGCTGAAAGGGAGAAGTGACTCACCTCAATCTGCTGAACGGCCTCTTCTCGCTGGCGGATTGCCTCCAGATCCTCCTCTGTGATTTCTGAGAGCAAGGCTTTGTCCTGGTTCTGGTTCTGCCACATGCCTTCTCCTCCATTAAAGATCTTCTCGTCATCACGGAGGTCAGAGAAGGGGGTCTTAGGGCTCTGCTGAGATGGGAGGATGGAAAGATAGAAAAGGATGTGTAAGTGTTGTCCAGTTTTACATAGTGTTCTTACGGGAAAATATAACATGAATGTAACAGATTTATATTATAATAACATATATTACAACCATATACGTTTATATAATATATATACAAATAATATAGAGTGTATAAACAATGGAGAAAAGGTGAAGATGAGTAAGTTCTATGAGAGGAAACACATTAAGTCTCGAAGGAAGTGTTAGGACCCAAAGCCAGATCTCCTGATCACCTTTGAGCCCCAGCATCCTACTTGAACTTTCCAGCAATTCTGACAGAACATAACATTTACGTGCATTAGAAAAATGACACATCCCCTTTGTTGGCTTTCCTGCAAATTCTTCTGGAATTAGATACTTGCTCAGGCAGACAGAAAGCCTATGCATTTGTCTTGGAGACTTTGTGATGCAGCTTGCAACATTCAACATAACAAACGATGCTATCTTGTGTATTTATGAGATATACTAAATACATGATATGAGATAAACTAAATACAGCTAAAATTAGGGGAAATCGTGAGAGTAATGTGACTGCAGAGTCATCAGTTTAAGCAGCACACAGGCTCATGGTCTGCCCTCTATTGAGTTGACCTGATTTTGCTGGCACATCAGATGCCATTTTCTAGGTAGTTAGAAGTTTATACTGCCTTAGGGAGCCGTGCTTGCATTCAGAACCCGATTTTAAGAGCCTGCTCATGATGCAGCTGCATCTACATTGCAGGTAGGGCGGAGGTCTAACAAGGTCTTCTCCTCCCAGCCTCTGGCTTCTGTGCCTGTAGAGATGTTAGGTTTGGTGTAGACTGGAGTCAGAATGAACTGACACAAGGATGGTTTGGAGAATCAGGAGGCTGAGCTTAATAGTCACTGCTGAAGACTCCAACCCTACGACTGCATGAGTATGTCACTTCAAACAATACACATGGTCCTTTAAACCGGCCCTGAGCTGCGCTTTGACTCCTAATCAAAAGTTACAACAAAAAAGCAATCCAAGTGATTCTGACACTCTGAAGAAAGAAGAAATGGCACTCACTACAGCACATTCTCGACCTGAATGTCCCCAAAGCCTTGGAAAGCTACAGGAGAAAACAAGCTGTTCTTCTCTATGAGTATGAACTACTCTGAAGCACAAACACTGGAGCTTTGCAATGAGTTGTACTTGAGAAATAACGGCCTTTGCTGTGGTTTTCAACTACATGATCTTAATGTCCTTTCCAACCCTAACTATTCTATGGTTCTATGATACGAAATGCTCTCCATTCCCACCCAGTGAATAGGAAGCAAGGCCATGGGACAGCTTGCTGGAAGGAGTGGAGAACTGAAAGGACTGGGAGGACCCCACTTGCAGCACTGTGTGCAGTTCTGGTGTCCTCAACATAAAAAGGACATGGAGCTGTTGGAACAAGCCCAGAGGAGGCCACGAGGGTGATCAGGGGACTGGAGCACCTCCTGTATGGAGCCAGGCTGAGAACACTGGAGCTGTTGAGCCTGGACAAGGGAAGCTGCGTGGAGACCTCAGAGCAGCTTCCAGCATGTGAAGGGGGCTACAGGGATGCTGCAGAGGTACTCTTCATCAGGGACTGTAGTGATAGGACAAGGGGTGATGGGTTCAAACTGAAATAGGGGAAGTTCAGGTTAGATATAAGGAAGAAGTTCTTTACTGTGAGGGTGCTGAGGCACTGGAACAGGGTGCCCAAATAAGTGGTGAATGCTCCGTCCCTGGCAGTGTTCAAGGCCAGGCTGGTCAAAGCCTTGGGTGAGATGGTTTAGCGTGAGGTGTCCCTGCCCAGGGCAGGGGTTTGGAACTGGGTGATCTTAAGGTCCTTTCCAACCCAAACCATTCTGTGATTCTATGACTCTATCACTTGAGTGGAAGTCACAGTAGAAAGACCAAATCACCATGGTAAGAATGAGAAGCCCCATCAAGCATACATGAGGGAGGCAAGGGAATGAGAGAAAAGAGTCACTTACAATGTGTTCTATTTCTTGCTTGTTTGCTTAGAGATCTGCCTTGGAGGAACTGTGAAGGCACAGAGAAAATGGGTAATATTTAACTCTTGAGATCACATTCAGACACTCCAGTTGGCCAGAGTTTGAAGGGTACCAAGCATCTGAAAACACTGATTTGACGCTTTAGATCTTCTTTGAGCCTCTAAAAAGTGCATCATTTCTGCATTTAGAAACTAAGGAACTTTTGCATTTGCCTCAACCTAGACCTTTGCTTTATGAACTTAATTCATTATTATCACCACCATCTAGTTGCAGACAGCAAACATCACACAATGCGATGAAAGAAGTGGGGTGATGGAAGAAGGAAAGAGTCACGCAGAAAATTGGCAGCAAAGAGTCAAGTATCTTTCACAAATACAAACAGAAGAATAAAATCTTTGACATTAATGTGTGCCTTTGGTTTATCCTCTGCTTCCCTGGGATCTGTTATCTGCAGAGAAGGGGTGTGTTACAGGAAGAAAATCATCATTTAAAATGAGGTTAAAAACTCATTTATACTTTAAAAGACACATTTTAATAGGTTTAAGATACTCTGGGGGTGTTTTATTCACTAATTATTACGTGCCTTGGACAGTAACTTATCTGATAGAGTGGTTCAGTGCCAAAAGCATGACTTAATGGACTCAAGCAAAAAAAAAAACCCTTGGGGTGTTCTAATGCTTCATTTATAGTGACAGAGTTGTCCTCGCATCTTCACCAGTGAGATAACTAAGACATGCAGAGGCAGTCATATTGCACAATGCCAAGCAGGCTGGAAGAGCCCAAATATCTGTGCTTTGAAGGTGCAGGAAAACAGTGATCTAATGGAATTCTTGTACTACGGTCACAGCAAGGACACTCTGCCATGGATCTAAATGCCCATGAATGGACACTAAAAGCCACATTCTCTTATGCAGACATGCATTTCAGTGGAAGATAATAAATAAACATGTTTTCACAGGTTTCCTTTTCTGTTCTGATGTGGGAGCACAGGATAAACAGGAATAGAACCAGATTTGCAGCCCAGAAAGCCAACCGTATCCTGGGCTGCATCAAAAGGAGCATGACCAGCAGGTCGAAGGAGGTGATCCTGCCCCTCTACTCTGCTCTTGTGAGACCTCACCTGGAGCACTGTGTGCAGTTCTGGTGTCCTCAACATAAAAAGGACATGGAACTGTTGGAACAAGTCCAGAGGAGGCCACGAGGATGATCAGGGGCTGGAGCACTTCCTATATGAAGACAGGCTGAGGAAGTTGGGGCTGTTCAGCCTGGAGAACAGAAGCTGCGTGGAGACCTCAGAGCAGCTTCCAGTATCTGAAGGGGGCTGTAGGGATGCTGGGGAGGGACTCTTCATTAGGGACTGTAGTGATAGGACAAGGGGTAACGGGTTCAAACTGAAACAGGGGAAGTTTAGGCTGGATCTAAGGAGGAAATTCTTTCCTGTTAAGGTGCTGAGGCACTGGAATGGGTTGCCCAGGGAGGTTGTGAATGCTCCATCCCTGGCAGTGTTCAGGGCCAGCTTGGACGAGGCCTTGGGTGCCATGGTTTAGTGTGAGGTGCCCCTGCCCATGGCAGTGGGTTTGGAACTGGATGATCTTAAGGTCCTTTCCAACCCTAACTATTCTATGATTCTATAGTTAGGGTTAGAAAGGACCTTGAGATCATCTAGTTTCAACCCCTGTGTCACCTCATACTAGACCACGTCACCAAGACTTCATCCAGCACAGCAACCAAATCTTCTAACTATATTAATCCATATAATGCCACAGCTGTATCACAAATAGGCTTGATCTTGGCCCGTGTCAGCTCTATTAGTCATCCCCAATTGCTGGTCCTGGTATCTGTAAATAACACGCCACCGCACATAATACAGATAGCGCAATGCAAGTGATACTGCTGTTGTCTCTTACAAAAGCCGGCTATTCATGTGTTTAAACAGATAATGGTCTAGACACAGATGTTTTTCTCTAAACAAAGTAGTGGCTTAAGTTAATTTCAGAGCTGCTGAAGGCAATTACCTGTTTGTATTCTTAATATCTTTAGAGAAAATCCAGCGGCTGCTGAATGAATGAGTAAATAAGGAAGCAACAGGATGCACTGGGGCTGAAATTGCATCCCAGACATAAGAATGGCCCCATACTAACATTAAATATAGAAACCATGACCTATTGGGGTATGCATGGTAGCTAGCTGTGCTAACAAATTAAAAGTGATTTTGTGTTTGTTGATGCTACAGAGACTCTCATTGCTGGGATACAGTGAACAAATCCTAGATTCAAAAGTGTAAATAAATCTAATGACTTTTAGTACTTCTGATTGAGAACTGCACATGGGTTGGTTTATCAGTGGTGTTCATTCCAAGTTGTGCTCATTGCCATGTCCGAAATAAGTGTGACCAGCAGGTGGAAGGAGGTGATCCTGCCCCTTTACTCTGCTCTCGTGAGACCCCACTTGCAGCACTGTGTGCAGTTCTGGTGTCCTCAAGATAAGAAGGACATGGAGCTGTTGGAACAAGTCCAGAGGAGGCCACGAGGGTGATCAGGGGCTGGAGCACCTCCTGTATGGAGACAGGCTGAGAAAGTTGGGGCTGTCCAGCCTGGAGAAGAGAAGCTGCGTGGAGACCTCAGAGCATCTTCCAGTGTCTGAAGCAGGCCTGCAAAGATGATGGAGAGGGACTCTTCATCAGAGACTGTAGTGACAGGACAAGGGGCGATGGGTTCAAACTGAAACAGGGAAAGTTCAGGTTGGATCTAAGGAGGAAGTTCTTCCCTGTGAGGGTGCTGAGGCACTGGCACAGGGTGCCCAGAGAATGCTCCATCCATGGCAGTGTTCGAGGCCAGGTTGGACAGAGCCTTGGGCAACACGGTCTAGTGTGAGGTGTCCCTGCCCATCGCTGGGGGGTTGGAACTGGATGATCTTAAGGTCCTTTCCAACCCAAATCATTCTGTGATTCTATGATTCTATGACAAAATATTGC